TACCTTGCCCTAAAGTTTGGCACGTTACTTCTGGGACACCCTGTATATTTTCATTATACCGTATATTTAAATTTGTTTCAGATCAGTTGTAAACACTCCTTATAGAGATTATTTGTGTGAAGTTATCATGTTTCGTTCACCCCCACATGATACACAAACATCTACACGGACTAATAATTTAAATGACTCGCTTATAGATTTGCAAAACAACTCTTTGCAAGAGGAGTTGACAAATCCTTATGCTAGTTAAAATAAAAATGAGGTGTATCCAACCTCAGTCAAGCTTCCACAATTTTGGACAAGTTGTCCAGAAGCTTGGTTTGTACATACAGAAATGCAATTTAACATGAAAAACATTACACAAGATGTCATTCAAATTCCTCTGCATAACAACAAGTTTTCAGAACTAAAGAAAGTCTTAATTGAAAGCGATTCTTTAAGTGAAAACAAAAAATTAGATACAATTTTCTCAGATTCAGAGATGGGTGATCGTAAACTCTCTGAAATTTATCGGTCGCTCATGCTGCTTGCAGGTTCAAATTTTAGTCAAGATATTTTAAAGAAACTTTGGCTGAGAAAATTGTCCAAAAATCTTAGTGCGATATTAGCTAGTTCAAGTACCAATAATATAAATGAATTGGTGAAGCTACCTGATAATATTTGGGAAGCGGTTAATGAAACCGAAATTTCAGCTATGAATAGTTTTCAAAATTCTAAATCACAAGACTCAATTATTCAGAATTTAGTTAAAACGACATATCTTATATGCGAAAATTTTCAAAAACTTTCCCTTGAATTAGATTCTATTAAGCAACGAATTAATAAAAATTCTAGATATAGATCATTCAATAGGAATTGTTTTAGAAGTCCATACAGAAGTAGATCAAAATCCCGTGATAGTCGAAATTGGTTATGTAGATACCATTACAAATTTGGTGATAAGGCTCAGAAATTTCAACAGCTTTGTGATTTTTTGATTGATAGTGGAGCAAAAATTTCTATACTCCCGGTAAAAAAATTTCCTCATACAAAACGTTCTTCAGATATAATACTTACTGCAGCCATTGGTTCAAAGAGTTCAACGTATGGTAAAAAGATTTTAAATATAAATTTAGGTTTAAGACTCGAGTTCCCATTTACGTTTCTCATAGCTGATTTTGCGAAACCTATTATTGGTGCATATTTTCTTTGCAAAAACGGTCTCTTAATTGACATGAAACGCAAACGTTTAGTTGATCCAATAACAAGTCTTTCGGTTAACACGGTTTCATGTGTTTGTAACATTTCGCTTCCAAAAATGTTCGTAGTAGAGAACCAGTATACAAGACAGCCTTTTAGTGAAGGAAATCTGGCATTCTCTAAGCCAAGGCGCTTGGATCCGATTAAATTAAAAGTAGCCAAAACTAAATTCGATTTTTTAGTGAGGACAGGGATTTTTAGACCTTCAAATTTTTGTGTAGCGTCTCCACTGCATTTAGTACCTAAAAAAGAACTGAATGACTGGCGTCATTGTGGCGATTTTCAGAGACTTAATGTTGTGACTGTACCGGACCGTTACCCTTTACCTCATATTCAAGATTTCAATATGAATATCAGAAATAAGTTCATATTTTCGAAATTAGATTTGGTAAGAGCCTACCACCAAATTCCAATGGCAGAAGAGGATATCTATAAAACTGCAATAACGACCCCTTTCAGTATGTTTGAATTTATAAGAATGCCTTTCGGTCTAAGAAATTCAGCGCAAACTTTTCAAAGATTTATTAATGAAGTAGTTAGTGGTTTATATTTTGTTTTTACATATATTGATGATCTATTGGTTGCAAGTGAAAATGAAGAACAGCATTTTCAAGATCTCCGTGTACTTTTCCAACGTCTAGCAGAGTACGGGTTAAACATCAAAACAAGAAAATGTACTTTCGGTGTTACAAATGTTGACTTTTTAGGACATATTATTTCTGGGGCGGGAATTAGACCCTCTGATGAAAAAGTGATTGCTATTCGTAGTTTTGAACGTCCTAAATCTATTAAACAGGCGCAGAAGTTTATAGGTATGGTTAACTACTACCATCGATATGTACCAAAATTAGCTGAGTTTACGGCAGTTATCTACGATTTAA